AGACAACCTCATACCTCTCCAGCCTGCCACCACCCCTCAACCCCCCACCTTGACCAATTTTGCCCTCCTAAATATACGGTCAATGTTTTCTAATGTTTATTTTATATAGCCCAATATCACAAATGTTACATTTGTCTCAGTGGACTTCACAGTTTGTACAGAATATCAGTATGACAATACGACACCCTCTGTCCTTGGACCCTCACATCGTACAAGGAAAAACTTCCAGAGAAAACCCACAGTTTAAAGGGGAACATGGGAGAAACCTCAGGGAGAGCAACAGAGGAGGGATCCCTCTCCCAGGACGGACAGACGTGCAATAGATGCCGTGTGTAAATCGAAAAGATAATACATTTACAACATAGGTAGACCAAATGCATGTGTCTAATAGCACCTTGATGCAACATTCAATTAAATACAGGAGTGCATAAACAGTCAACTGTTGTTCATTCACAGTGTGTGACTCAGACTCAGTAGTAAACAGACTGTTGTTTGAATCCTTTGATAAACAGCGTCCCCTTGTGGGAAATGTAATGAAGCAGCCAGGTTAGTCCCTGTCAATCCTAGCTGAAGTGAAACATAACATTTGTGTCTTTGAGTGATATTTACTCCAGCTAAATATTGCCAGCGGTTAGTATTTATGCAAACTCAGAAAAGAAATAATCATGCAGATTATACACACATCATTAGGTGGTGTCGATTACGTTATTTAGCACACCATGAGTCAGACTAGAAGTCAACACTGAGATGACTCAGAATGGTCACACCTACAATATTTAGTAAGAAAAACATGCGTGTTAAGGTGTATACTTTAGCCCAAAGCACTTTGGTGTGTAGATTATTATGGCACGCACAGTTCATCTAGAAAAACGGAATTTCCCCTCAGGGATTAATAAAGGCGATCTGAGTCTTCATCTTAAAGGAACAGAAGAACGGCTTTTTTTTTGGTTAAGCTGTCTCATTTAAGTATTCATCCTCTAAAAGTGGCAAAGGATTTATGTTTGCCTGTGGCTTTTGAAAAAAAAAAATGGTCTCTTTCATCAGTCAGCAATCCTCACCCTGAGCCGTAGCCTCCTGGCTGTTTCAGCTGACAAGGCAATCACGTTGCCGTGGCAGCCGCTCATAAACCCCCCCTGACTGACTCAAGTCTTCATTTACACTGAACCCCACACAGGCCCTGTGCCTTCTGCTGACTCTATACTGTGAACATGAAGGGATGAATCAAAGTTAAAAAAAAAAGCATTCCCCATAGTGTATTCTTGAATAGACACAACAATATACATGCACATACACATACCCTTGTTAATGCAGGCAGTCAGATCAGAGTCTGTTCGGGGATGAAAACCTCAAGCTTCAAAGGAGAGAAGATGAGAGACCTTCAAGGCATTGATTTTAAGAGATTATTAAGAGTCCATGATGGGAGCTTGTTTTTAGTTTTTATTCTCATTGGGTTGAATCCTTCACATTTCTTTTCCCTTCCAAAGCTGATTTTCACAACTTCACATGAGCCTTTTTTGAAACTGTTCTCAGTGAGGCTCCCTTTCATTTAACACGTCGCGGCTGGGGGGAGTTTCCTGTGAGGATCCAGATCCACTTCAATGACCCGCGCAACAAACGTATCGACATCATCCACCAGCTAAAGGTCAGACCACATCAGGAACCACATCGCTTTTTCAGGCTGAGACACAGTATTAATACACATGCCGTTTCAACTGAGATATTTCCCTGGTTGATTATTAGTGGTCAATGTTTAATCAAGGTGGCCTTCTTGACCTGTTTTATTAGTGCTGACTCAGAACATGGAACTTGGCATGAACTTGTATGATATATGGGACGTACAACTTTGGGATTCTTAGTCTTTGATTGACGTCATTATAATCAGAAAGCTTCTTCATTGTATTGTACTTTAGGGCTATAAATAGAGATGAATACTCCATTATTCAGGTATCTACCTCTACTTTACACTTTAACTCCATAAAAGTTTGTACTTCCAACAATCTTTTTCTATTTCCTGCAGCTGGACAGAACATACACTGGGCTGCAGACACTCGGAGCAGAGACTGTAAGTTATTCATATTTACTCTGTTCCCTCCAGTGACTTCTTTTCTCTGAGCTTCCCTCTGACAGTGAGCTATATTTATTGCAGGTGGTTGATGTGGAGCTCCATAGGAACTCTCTTGGGGAGGACTTCATCCCTCAGCCCTCTTCCTCCAAGGTGACTCACAGAGCAGCCAGCCCCCCAACGGGCGCCTCCCTGCCCCAGAGTTATGGACGCTCCAGTTCTCCAGTCCAACACGATCCCAGTGTGGATAAAGGTACGCACACAGAAACATTGAAGAAAAGTGAAGGGGCCCTTTTGACTTCTTGACCCCTAGTAACACTGGGGAGCAATATTTCACAAGTGTGTCCCATTTTGTTTTTGTCTCACATGAAAACCCACATAGACAAGCAGTCCTGATGCTGCTTTGAAGCGGTACAAAAAGAAACATACCTTTGCAAAAGTAAAGGCATTAAGAACATGACTGCTGGCTAGCAGTTCTAGATTAAAGCAATGCTGGATTTTAAATCGGCTTTGCGAATGTTTTACGAGCAATATCTTGAATGCATTATTGTTGAACATGTTTGTTAAGCCTCAAGGATACACACAAATCGATTTGGTGAGAAACTGAATGTGAACATAACAAATGTTATCTACAAACTCCACAGACTAACTTTATCATCTCCATCTGCCTGCTGGTGGCTATTGGACTGTTGTAGACACTCTCCACACCCCCCCTCTATAGGTTGCATATCTTAACTCCAGTTGTGATTGAAATGGAATATACATTTTTTAAAAACCCTCTCTTCTAGGTTTCATCAAAGCGGAGATGGGCAGGTCTGCAGGCGGCCATAGCTCCGGCCTCACCGCTGGTGAACGCACCCCAACCCGACCCAAAGTTGCAGACAGGATCACTCTGGGTACCCATGGCAACTCTGCCTTCCAGCCCATCACTGCCAGCTGTAAGATTGTCCCTCAAGGACAGACGCCAAGCCCTGCTGAGTCTCCGGGGAAATCGTTCCAACCAATCACCATGAGCTGTAAAATAGTTTCAGGTAAATGTCTCCACCCAGTGGCCATATGACAAAGTTAATTCAGATATTTGTACAGCCTAACATGTTTCATAACAACCTAATTTCAGCTTTTATGCTGGGAAAGTACCAATACCATCAGGAGACGCTGACAGCAAACACTTCACTGTCTTGATATTAGGCTTTGTTAGAGTAACCATATTCACACGACTGATCCGTCTCATGTATTTCGCACAATTTGCTCCTGGCATTGATGCTTATTCTTCACTCGGTGGATTTATTTCAAATGAAACTCTTGAGAGATCAAGACTTCTGATGAGTTCCACTAGTTCCAAATTTGCTGTTCAATCTGTAACCTTAAATCGAAACCAGTTTCACTTTAACAAAATGAATTGGGTCACCGTCCAGCAGTGACGCAAGGATCCTCACCAGTGGCACACATGTCACCAAGAGGAAATTGAATAGGCATCATTTCCATGTTCATTTGATTTGTTATTAACATCCCAAGTATTCATCTCATAGCCTGTGAACTCTCTCCCCCACAGGTTCTCCCATCTCCACCCCGAGCCACTCCCCACTGCCTCGCACCCCCATCACCTCCACCCCTGTCCACAGCAAGCAGGGCTCTTCATCAGTCCTCAATAACCCTTACATCATTGTTGACAAGCCCGGCCAGGTGATCGGCATGGCTTCCTCATCCGCCGCTTCCACAGGTACACACCTCCCACTCGCTGCCGCTTGAAACCGGAAGTGGACCTGCAGCGAAATAGTGGAGCGGTGTCTGAGGATATCAAAATGTACTTTAGAGACACATGAAGAACCCTCATGGCTCTCCCTTACTCTTTGTCTGTTTCTCTCTTTATTTCTTTATTTCTTGCTTGTCCTCTTTCCCCCGTTGTACTTTCTTCTTAAAGCTCTCTTTTTCTGTGTCTCTCTCTCTTGTTCTCGTTTTGCACTCAAACTATGACGTGCGGTGAGCCAGCAGGAGGGTTGCTGGATGAGAGGTTACCATGGCGACTGGGCTGATGGGTTTCATGGCCAGATTTTAAGGATGAGACCCATCGCTCACGTCAAGTTCAGTATTTGTTTGTGTATCTGTATTTCCGCACAAACAAGATGATGCAAACTGCAATTTGACCGATGAGTGCCATTGTTCACTCTATTCGTGTTTCACCCCATTACGGAGTCATCTTACGTCCTCAAGGCTTTTGCATTGACTTCCTCTCATCAGAAACTCCGCTCATATGCTACTTAGAAGCTCTTTACCCCAGATTGCTCACTCTTTCTCGCCCACTCAGCCAATCCCACTCCTCCTCCACAAATGCACAGTGCCAATAAGAAATGTTTTATCAAGCTGGATGATGTGGGTGTTGTGGCTGATTCACCAATCCTGGGAGAAAACAGATTTAATGCAGTAGGTATGAGGCACAACTTGGCTGGTCGGTTTCAACACCCCCGCTGAGTAACCTTGACAGGGAACTGTCACCTCGCCACACGAGGGCCGTGATATCTGTGGAAAGGATGGCAGGAACTGCAGTGAACCATCACCTGTGCACTCATCTCCTCCATGACTTATTCTGTGTGTTAATGTGTTCTGCAGGAAGCCCCTCAGCCAAACAGTCTGTGGCCCATGGCGCTCGCTCTCCAGCCCCCAAACTTCACTCCGGCACCTTCCTCTCATCAGGGATGAAGGTGAGTTGGTCAATGATGTCACGCTTTAACAAGATCTGAGCTAAAAGGTCTCTGTCCCAAAAAATGTGCCGGTCTGTCCCTGTGGTATCTGTTTCTTTAAGGGAGGTATTAATAGTAGGACAGAGCTATCTTCGGCAGATGTGAGTGCCTTGGCAAGCTATTTAAATGGGACATCACTCTAAAGATAGGAGGGGGTGTGGGGAGCTTTGCAGGGAGAATTGCCTGGTTCTGTTTCACTCGCTGTCAATAACCCGCTGTAAAATCCTCCCACTCCCACATGCTCATTATCCCGTCACAACCTTTAAAGAATTAAATATAATTTCCCTTAAAAATTCAGTTTGATCACAGAGATTGCTCAGAAATGACATTCCTCTCTGTCATAGACTCCTGCTGTGGTACTAAAGGCCAGGGCAGATGGGAACAGATGGAGAATAAAAAAAAAATCTTCTTGATGAATAAATGATGATGCTGATTTTCAAAAATATGTTTTAGGAAAAATCTCCTCACTGCTCTGCGTCTGTTGCCTTTAGGAAAAGAACAAGGGGGTCGTGATTTTACAAATGGTTTCATTAATCACTAAATGATCCTTTTTTGTTAGATAACAGCTACTACATCTATAACTGGTTTTGGTTTTAGGGCTGTTTTATCCCTTTGCTTCATGTTCACTCACTGTTTTTGCAGGTTATTATTAAGCAGGAGCCAGGGGAAGTTTCGACACAGCAGCAGCAGATGGTTTCCACAGTAACCAGCCAGCAGCCTGCCGCTACAGCAGCACACCAGTTTGTCGCAGTGAAGGGAGGTCACATGATCTCCATGTCGGCCCAGAAACAGACAGGAGGGGCCACGGGGACCACAACTGGCAAGGTCGGACCCTTGCATATACGCACACACGATCACATGGCAATCATTTCTATATTAATAGTGATATGCAACAGTAACATTTTCTTCAAAACTTTTCTTTTGTTTCTAGATGTTAGGCATCCCAGTTAGCTCTACGCTCCAGTCTGCAGTCAAACAGGTAGCTATCAGCAGTGGACAAATTCTGGTCGCCAAGGGGAACCCTTCTGTATCCAAGGTGATGGGTGGGAAGCAGGTTTTGGCTCAGGGCCTCGCTAAAGCCATCGTCAGCGGAGCCAGTGGGCTCTCTGGACAGCAGGCGGCTGCCAAGGCGACCGGGGGGTCAAGTGGCAAGAGTGGAGGTCAGAGTTCACACACACACAAAGCAGGTCCATGTGACACTAAATCCTTGAAACACTTGGATTTAAAGTCCCTGGATATCGAATGAACTGCTTGAAATAGTAATTAATAATAAATAATAAGTAATACATCTTTATCTGACTGAATAGATTGCTCTTTAGATAAAGAAATAAAACAAGTCTGATAATGGCTTTTGCTTTTCAGACAACGTTGGTCTTAAGACATTACATTACATTACATGTTACTTGTTAGACGCTTTTATCCAAAGCGACTTACACACTCAATACTGTGGGCAATCCCCACAGGAGCAATTTGGGGTGAAGTGTCTTGCCAGGGACACAACGACTGTGACCCCCTGATCCCAACACCAAGGCTCTATCCACTGCGCCACACTCCTCCTAAGAAGCACAATTAATGTACACTTATCATAACAATAAAAAGAAAATGGCATATACACATTTAATTAAGTTTTAAATGAAGTCCCTATTGCGTAGAGAATTAGAATTACAATTTTTGGGGGCATACACAACTAAATAAAATAAGAAATATGATGAAAAAAAGTCAAATTTGAAAGACTAAAAAAAGAAAGAATTATGAGGTGAAATAATGTTTGACTCAAGGGTACTGCGCCTGTAGTAAACATACACTTTGAATTGGACAGAAGTCACATTTATGTTTAGCCAAAGACATTTTATTCATATTTTTACATGTGCATTATTGTTTTCTTTTTCTCTGCTGTCCTTAGTGATGGCTACTCTTCAGCTGCCAGCCAACAACCTGGCTAATCTGGCCAACCTGCCTCCAGGCACCAAGCTCTACCTGACCACCAACAGTAAGAACCCGTCGGGGAAGGGGAAGCTGCTCCTCATCCCACAGGGAGCCATCCTGCGAGCCTCCAGCGCAGGTGAGACATGCTATAATGACCCTTGAAATGCAGACATTGGCTAAAGAACTCTGTTAATAGTTATTTACCAACGCCCTCTGCTGCTGCTGCTGCTGCTTGATTCTAGTTTTCAGTCACTTACTTATTAACACACTCCTGTCCAGCTCTTGGGAGCTGTTCAGGACCAGGGAAATATTCTCTTTCACTTTTAGTAGAATGTCTTTTTGAAGTTGCCACCTTCTAAAATACAAATCTGTGACACTTTGTTTTGTGGCAGCAAAATGCATAAAATAACCAAGCAGATATTGTATTATTTAGAAATGATACCACCTCCACTTTCAAAAGTTGGGGCTTAGGTTATATAGTAAGGAATTTCTAAGTGAGTTAAGAAAGCCTGAACATAGTTGCTTTGCACAACTCATTACTTATAATATATTGCTCTCCTTCCGTGTCTTTTACATGGAATTTTGAAATTGGTAGCTTTGGGAATTTTCTGGGATTAATTAGTATCTGGGGTTAACATCCGGACTAAATGACTTAAGCCCTGACTTTTCCTCTGTGCCTTAATTTGTAGAAAGCTGTCATAAAAATGTTACTGGTGTCAGTTATTATCAGGGTTCATACGGCCATTAAAAACCTGGAAAAGTCATGGAAAGTCAAAATGCTAATTCCAGGCCCTGGAAAAGTTATGGAAAAAAATACGTTTCCCTAAATTTTGGAAAAGTCATGAAAATGTAACTAAAGTTGCATCAAATATAATTAATATTTTATCTAATCGCCGAAATAGTAATACTATAATGATAATAAATACTGTAAGTTATTTGTTTTACAACATGTTTCATATGCAGACCTTATTTTCCTGTTCCATGTTATAATAAACCATTTTCAGTGGCACCGCTAGGAAAGAGTCATTTTTTTTGGTCATGGAAAATTAGGTAAAGGTCATGGAAAAGTCATTGAAAATCCTTGGTGAAAAAGTGTATGAACCCTGTATTATACATTTTGGGAGAAGTAAGAAACCCACTTCTCTAAGATGTGAAGCATGCTGGTGGCAGTTACAGATTGTGGCTGCTACACTTCCTTCTGGACAGTGAGTCAGCCCTAGTCATCTTTTTCTCTCTGCTGTTTATTGAATGCATTCTGCGAGCCACAATCCCTCACACGGCACACTTTCTGTCAAATCGCAATGAGATTAAAGAGATTAAGCAGAGCCCTGTATGTCATTCTAAAAAAAAAAAAATGTCACAGTACACCAACGTTACTTTGTACAGCTCTGCTCAGAATCATCTGTCCCGGTACAAAAATACTTTTTGGAGATAACACAAATGATTGCATAGAGGATGAGCTGTAGTTATGGATGAAGAATAACAGGATCGTTCATCAGATGTTGGGCTGATGTGTATGTGGCTGAATGTAATTTAGGTCAGCAGTCCCAGAGCAGCTCATCGACCGGCGCTGGGGGCTCTCAGACCTCCTCTTCCTCCTCTTCATCATCCAGCAGTCTGCCTTCCAACCTGTCCTACACATCCTACATCCTCAAACAGACCCCACAGGTGGGTGGAAATGCTCTAAAACAAACTTTAGAGAGATGCTTACTCTGGCATAAACAACATCTATTTTGATGTCTTTTCTTCTATTGTGGATTCTTAATTGTTTTTTTTTTGTATTTATGTTCTGGCATGTTTTGAGCAGAGTTTGAACTGCTTCATTAAAATCTGAAGGAAACTGAAGTTGATTTGCACATTCAGTATTCATCACCACAGATCTTATAGTTGATGTCTTTATGGCACGGCAGGACTTGCATGCACAGTCTGCAGAGAGCTTTCCTTCCCTCGGTGAATCCTGATTTTTGTATTCTAGTGTGGAGGTTGAGCCTGATGTGTTCCTAATGAGAGACATTCATTATAGCAGCATTGATCCTGCAGTCAGCTTTAGAACACTGCTTGAGCCAGCAGAATAAAATGAAGTTGCCAGCAAAGGTTTCCACTTACATTTAAAGTAACAAATCTGGACTATGTTTCCTAATAATGATCAATCTTCAGGGTTAAAAGTGTTTTCTAGGTGTGATATCTACAAGTGTTCAGATACACACAAATGCACACACACTCCAGTTAAGAGCTAAGAGGATAATTAATTGATTTTTAGGAAGGCTAATTACATTTTCTGTAAGCTTTTAGTGTAGTTGATGTCATTTTAGATGCTACGAAATCGTCATACCCTGCACATTATGAAAATGTATCCTTATTGACTGCACAGTATAAATGGGGTTACATGTTTATCTTAGCTTTAAGACTGGTTCATAAAAGGGACTAACTAAAAGTGTGTTAGTGCTGAGTGGGTCACATTAACACCATGACAATGCCTTGACTTTGAATGCAAAGTGATATGATGTTGGATTTCTACCCATTCCCTAACTCTGCGTATCCGCAGGGCACGTTTCTGGTGGGCCAGCCAGCACAGGGTTCAGGGAAGCAGGGGGGTTCCAGTTCAGCAAGCCATGCAGCATCATCTCCGGCAAATGTTACCCAGCAGGCCATCCGGGTGACAGCGGGACAGAAGGCTGCTATCCTGGCTCAGGTCAGTAAGGCTAACGAAACTGAGCGCAGCACTGATCCTCCACAATGTCTGATCCTAAGGGAAGCTGCTGTACTCACTACTTATTCACAATTCTTATAATAAGACCATTATTATTTGATTACATTTAAAAAAAACATTTTATTCTGTATGATTTTGAGCTAATTTATGGCCTTTTTTATGAATTGTCTTAAACGTGCATTAACCCTATCACACACTGTAGGATATTAACATGCACATTTTATCTGACCCTTTTATGGATGACTTTACATTAAAACCTTACTCTTTTGCCTTATAAAAATATGCTACGGCTGGTTCCAGAATTGGTATCTGAAGTAGCACTCCCACTGTGCTAATTCATCTTTTGCCACTTTACTTGCTTCCTCTCCATTTAATTATGTTCGTAGTGGATTGTAATTGAATGGCAGCTCCCGTTCAACATTGTGATTGTAATGATTGACAGGTGGTGGGCGGCTCCCAGGGTGCCCAGGTGAAGTTGTCCGACGGCTCTGTTAAGACGGTCACCGCGGCAGCAGCAGGCCACTTGTCCAAGCCCGGGACGACCACACTGAGGATGACAGGCGGAGTCATCACTGCCACCTCCTCCACCCCCGGCCCCGTCAGCGCCGCAGCAGCCGGTCAACAACAGGCTAGTTCCCCAGTCGTCATATTCTTCCATTTTATTCTGTCTGACAGTTGTTTCTTTTTCAAAGTCATTGCAAACCAAAGGGCTGTTACCTTCAAAATGTTAGATGTTTTTTTTTGTTTATGCTGGCAAACTGGTTGTTTATGTTTCCAATAACTTAGATATTGGTACATTTCCACCAAATCCAGTTTGATTTAAAACATTTTATTTAATATTTCCCACAAAAATAATCGTTATGAATGTTTTTTTTCGGTGAACAGGGAATTTATTTAATTGTGATGAAGGATGCTATTGCAGATGAATAGTCCGAGTTCATACAATGTAGTTTTTATGCTTTTACACAAGTGAGAGATACATGTTCTAGTGGTTTTCCAGTGCAGTTTAAATAGATGGATAAGAGGAGTGACACATTGTGAGTGCAGTAGCAAGGTGAGTGTTGTATTTGTCAGTTAGTTGAGATGTGTGAAGAGCCCTGCACGGTACATCAGCATTGGTGTGTTTGGGTGATTATGACTTCAGAGTCTGTGGCCAGGCCTCATTAACTCGGGGAATGGAAAGACACAAAAATACTTCCTAGAGGCTCCAACAAGCAAAATAAAATATGTAACAGTATGATACAGAGAAAAACACTAAATGCCCTGAAGATGTTGACGCAAATACAAAAGAGGGATACATCACTGCTGTTCCTGTTTTGGAAAAACTGCCCTTTCAGGACTGTTAATTGAATCATGAGGATTCTTCGTCAGAGAAATTGACTCTTTTGTCTCTGCGAATACCATAAAACCAGTGACCTGATCGGCACATCTCACTCTGAGAGCTGCACTGTTCCCAAAGTCCTGCCACAGTCAAATACGTTTTCCAGCACGTCTCATCTGCCCTTCTAAAAACCAATTTGTATTTTTGAAATGTTCACAGAATAACAACTATCATACATATCACATACACATTCTCTGTGATGTAACTGCAGAAGCGATGCCACGTGTCACCCCATAAAGTGTTTATTCAATGCCTAAAGCAAGTGTTTTGAAATGAAACGTGTCTCCAAAACAACGTTTTTATTTGGTATACTAAATCATTTTAATTTACCTCTGTATCATTAAGTTAAAACTCCTTGACTGTCTTTTCAAACGTAGCTTCCCTCAGCTTAACTCACACACACATCGATAGAGGTCAAAATGACAGAAAACAAGTGTTTGTGTTTACTTCCGGGCTGACAGCTGTGTTTCTGTGTGTGCAGGCTGCCGATGGCGGGAAACCTGCCTCTCAGCATCACTCGCTCCTGGTGGCAGCCAATCAAGCGGCAGTGATCAATGCAGCTAAGAGCGCCTGTGCTGCAGCAGCTGCGGCCGCTGGAGGCAGCCTGTCCAAGGCGGCCGTGGCCTCGCTGGTCAAGGGAGCCGGAAACTCTGCCACCATGACGAAAAGTGCTGCAGGCTCAACTGGAGCTTTAGTTACTGTGGCCAAAGGCATTACCAACATGCCTGTGGTCAGCATGTCCAAGGCTGCAGGGGCGGGGACTGTGGGGGGTGTGCCCAAGAGCAGCGGCAAGCCATTGGTCAATGCCGCCTCGCTGGTCACCGGAATGGCAGCAGCAGGAGGAAAGACGGGTGCTACTCTCTCAGGTAAACATTTAGAGATGAACTTTCCAGTTTCTTTTAGGTCACGATCAGATTCTATACTTACATTTACTGAAACAGATATTTTATTTTTTTTAATTAGTGTAGTTCAGCACAACTTTTATTAATTGGAATTATGGCTGAACAGACGTTATAAGTTGCCGTCCTTTCTTTTGTTTTGGTTCTAAAAAAAAGTCTGTTTGAGTTAGCCAACTTTTACTAGCTCACTTAGTTGCAGAATATTGCATTTACAATTGATTTTAAAGTTTAAACCCCGCTTATACATCTAACTCTGGGAGACAAAAAGATATGAGGCCTACATAATAGTAAGTAAAACCACTTTATTACAAATTAATCAAAACAATTTGGCCATGGATAAATCTGGATTGGTACCCGGAATTCCAATATAGGATCAGATCTGTCCCAACTTTATATAAATACTGTTTTTCTAATCTGTTAAATTATTTAAACAAACATATTTTGGGTCCAGCCGCATTGCGCCTCCTTTTGAATGTACTTTGCTCTGTCCAGGCATGCTGAAGATCCACTCTGGAGGCTCCAGCTCTCAGCAGACAGTCTTATCCATCCCTGCCAACCAGCTGAAGCAGCTGGGGGGGGGCGGCGGCTCTGGAGGGGTGCAGCCCATACTCATGCCTGTTGGGAAAGGTACGCCTGACGCAGCCGTTTTAAAACATTTGTTTAGCCAGCACAACACAACAGTCTGCCTCATCACTACTGTAGCTCAGACCGACATGTTCTTATTACCAAAGATTGCATTGAAGGGTAGAACTCTGTTCACTCTGAATCTGTTCTTCAAGGGGATAAAAGCCAGTAGCGATGGCATTTGAATAAAACATGAAGCAGCGTTGACATTGATTTCTTTGTTGTTGTGCCACTTATTTTATCCCAAGTGTCTGAAAAGCAAATATTTAAATAAAGCAAAGGATTCTGAGAGTGTAAGAGTATAAGTAGCCAGCAGAAGATTCATTCAGTTTCCATTCTATATGGTATACATCTATAATGTGTCATTCATCTTAGACTGAGGGTGTTTCTCAATGTCGAGTAAAGCTGCTCCAGAGCCACTATTTCAAGCATACTACGTCATCGAGTGCCGCCGAAGGACTGTTCCAATGTCCAGCATACTTGGAATTCTACCGAGCCCGGCGTACTTCGTTTGGGGGAATTTCGAGGCTGCACATGGGTAGACTTCGCATTCTTAAAATCCCCACAATGCTTTGCGCACGGACCAATTTCCCCAAATCTGTGGCGGAAAATGTAAGGCGGGGCCTCTCATATGACGCACACCTGCACACTTGCTCGCCTGTTCCACTCTTCGTTTTCCGAATGCCAGGAAGTATTCTTGCCTCGCTTCTGAAGCAAGACGCTCGGAAGACATGTGCTAGTCTTTTAATTTGTTTTGTAAAGCACTTTGAATTGTCGCGTACAGAAAAGTGCTATATAAATAAACTTGCCTTGCCTTGCCTTGCCTTGCCTTGCCTTGCCTTGCCTTGCCTTGCCTTGCCTTGCCTTGCCAAGCAAGCAAGCGTACTCGACATTGAGAAACACCCAGAGGCTCATACATCCACTGCAGATTCTCCTCTCTCTCTCTGCGGTAAACCATCTTCCTCTCCTCTCATTTTTCATCCAATTCTTAAGCCCATTTACCTAATGGGCCATTGATCCATCCTGTGTGTGTGTGTGTGTGTGTTTCTTCTGTGTATAGTAATGTCTAAAGGCCCAGTCTCCACTACTCCCTCCTCCACCCCTGGAGCAGCTGGAGCCTCCCAAAGTCCTGGCAGACAGGCGTCCCCCTCCCTTGCCCTGCCTCTGGCACAAGGTGAGAGGGGTCCATCCCCACTCCCCTCCCTCACTCCTTTATTCCCCCCTCCATTTTCTACCATTTTATCTAAAAATTGGAAAGAAAAGACAATACGGTACCGAGTTTTGGTACAATTTTAAGCTAGTGCCTCATTTTTTTTATCAACACAACTCATTTATAGAGGTCAAACATTGCTGTACTAACTCCCAGCAACTGTATTGATCACACACCTAATCTCCCACACACCCTTTACGTCAGCTGCTATAAAACAAGTTCACTCACACACAAGTTCATCTACAAAACTACAATCTAAAGGAGCCCATTAGAAAACATCAACAGGCTTTCTACAAAAATGACTACCCAACTCACATAATGAGTTAACACAGAACATTTAAGGAATGCTTATATTCTCTTAATGGCTTCATACATTTCTAAAATATAGTCCTTTAGTTGGTTCCAATGTTCAGGATTCAGGGAGATACCTTCCTCCCCCGGCTTCATCTCCCCACCCGAGTTCATCCAGTACTCTACCACAACAACAACAACAACAACAACAAATATATGTCTCTCCTCAAATATACAAATGTGCAATTGTTTAATTCAATCTCTGTCTCACACTTGCTTTTCCGCTGTGTCTCTCTTCCTCCACAGTGAAGACTGAGCCCGGCGCCGGCACAGCTGTCACAGCTGCTCCGTCTCCCCCGGCGACCGCTCCTGTCCCCACCTCTGCAGCTACGATAGTCAAACAGGAGCAAGGGGCGGATACCTCTGCTCACGAACTCATCAAGTGAGTGCACGAGGAGTCACGATGCAACTCTGACTTACTGACTGAACTGATTCTCAGAGGCGTTGATAAATTATGCTCTGTTTACAGGAAAGGTGCGAGTGAAGAAACACATTTATTTAAGCACTCAAACTCACACTGAGTCATCCGAGCGCAACTGTGCTCGGATTTATAAATGTATTTAATCACTTAAAGCAACATCAACGTAAGATTCTGAATGTTTGCGACTTAGCGCTGATACCGATTCAGAGTGCAATTCACTTGCACTGCTGTCGTAAATATGGGCGGGTATAGCATTACACCTGCTATCATTAAACTACTTACAAATACTAGTGAGTTGACAACTTTGAAAATAATGCAGAACATCAAGCAAGTGCAACAACATCAGATAAGCCAGTTAACATTTCTCACAATTCCTTAGAGCAGGGATTTCCAAACCTTTTTCACTGAGGGCCACGTACAGAAACATATAGGAAGGGCTGGGCCCCTCACTAGAGGTGTATTGGCTCATAAGGTAAGTTATAAGTAAGCAAATTCAATCAAATGTGGGTCAATGATGCTTGATCATTCCTTAAAACTGAAGCCTCATATTGCTTATGAAAAGAGGAAATATGAAGGGTAGATTTCAAGGTTGTCATGTAATCAAGTTATTGGGCTTTTTTTGTATCAACTAAGATTTGTTTGAAAATGTTTCCAACTTGAATTGACTGAATTTATTCGAAAAGTGGGCCTTTTTAACACTTGCAGACTGTGTAATATGTTTTCATTTTGTGAGCCATATTTCATTATGCTTTTGGAATTAGCTGAGGGCCGTTTCAAAATGGGCCTTAGTTTGGACACCCCTGAACCTCGCTCCAGTTTCCACTCAACTGATTCCTGTTCTGGCGAAATTGACACAATGTTGCTTTAAGTGTTTTTCTGTGTAACAATTTCTCCATTGCACTGAATACTTTCTGGTTGTATATCTGTGCTCTCTCTCTCTCAGCACTGAGCACATAGAGACCCTGATGCAGCTGCTGACAGCCGTGGTGAAGAAGTTCCCTCTTATAGTGCCCGATAAGAGTAAGTGAGCCTGCTTTCTGTTTGGTCTGCTTAAAAACCAGCTCCATATATTAAATCAGCCTGAAAAGGTATGGGTTTTTTCAAGCTTTGTAATGCTTTGTTTGTTTGTTTAGCCGAAGACTCCCATCCATTCTGTGCCTCCTCAACAGAACAGTATTATTCCTGGACTATTGGCAAGCGCAGAGCATCAGAGGTGACTTTCTCTTGTTGTTTTTGAATGATTGATGCTGTAGGTTTTCCGTGACTTTGAGTTAAAATAACGCCTCAGTGGAGTCAAACTGAAAAACCATGCAAACTACAGCTGTGATTATTAGTCAATAGAACCTTAGTTACCTTTTTCCCTTTCACTATTTTCTGGCATTTTATAGACTGTATTTCCTAGACTCATTAATATCTCAGAGCACCGACTTAATAGCAGTTGCTCTCCAGTTTCCATGGTGGGGGTGTCTATAATGCCAGGCTTCATTTGCATTCTTTGCAGTTTTGTTCTCTGTGTAATCTGTCTTGGTGCTCGGTGCTGGGACCCTGACTCAGCAATCTTTGTGCTTACCTCATGGCTTCCTATCTACCCGGTCAGATGTGTTTCTCTGCCTGTTGTGTCCCTTCATCTTTTTCTAATGGGTTCATCAATAGCTCATGCAGGCCAGTCCATGTGTTAGCTGTCGGTTCTCTTTCTCTACAACTATAAAAGGCTCAGACTGGATATTTATATCTACGGGGCGCTAATTTACTAAAGGGCCAGGGGACTTGAAGCAAATCATGAGACAAGGCCAGGGGAGTATCTGTCACAGAGAGTTAAATAATGTAAAACTGTGAATTGTGTCAGCTTTTTACCTTATGTACAGTATAGAGGCTAAGCCAACGCTTCAAGCCTCTGAGGATCCACTAACTTGACGTTATTGACGCACACATAGCTTGCCAGGTGAACAAAAGTCCGATACAAAGTTTTCAGTGAAATACAGTCCATTTATTTCCTTTTACTGGTGTCCATTTAACTTGCTTCAATTTTCCATTTACCTTAAACAATATTACGGTTCACACAATGCCTTAGCAAATGTTTGTAATCCCGTGTTTGCGTGCGTGTGTTCTCCGTGTGTGGTCAAAAACTGTTTCCGGCGGAACCTGAATCCACAAACATTGGTTCTAACTTCCTTCCTTTATACCCACAGTGTTAATTGGCTCCTACATACAGTTTTTCCTAATAGATATTGGTGTGTGTGTGTGTGTGTGTGTGTGTGTGTGTGTGTGTGTGTGTGTGTGTGTGTGTGTGTGTGTGTGTGTGTGTGTGTGTGTGTGTGTGTGTGTGTAGCTTCAGCGGGCGGTGGCAGTAAAGCGGCTGGTCCAGGATGTGTTGGACCGCTCGCCCCGCCTGCAGGCCCTCACCCCCCCAAAGACCAGAGAGGTGGTGCAGTGGTGCCGGCAGAGGGGCTACACGCCGCCTGACCTCGAGCCCCAACGCAAGAACGAAGACGAGTCCATCGAGGACATCCTCACGCAGATAGACAACGAGCCCGGTGAGTTTGTGGGGAATAGATTTCACGGTTTTCCATCAGCTCAAAGTGGATCAATATTCTCCCTTCAGTGTTGCATGTGTGGGCGTAGTGCTTCTGCAGATACCTCTCGGTCCAGTAATGTGTTGGCAGTCCAGTAGTGTGTGAGGGCGGGCGGTGTGCAGCCTCACTGTTTTTGTTCAGGCGTCTTTTATTCAGAAAGAATTCTCATTAATTCCGTCTTTTGTCTGTAAAGGGTGAGAGACAAACTGCTTAGCTCAGTGAGTCACACACCGCCTGAGCCAGACAATATGATAATCTGTGTTTGTGTTTTCCTCGTCCTCCTTCATGCACAAATGTCTTGATTTTTAATTATTGCATTGTTTGACCGGTTTAACGAGCCACAATTGCACAAAAGCTCTCTTAAAGGTCTCCTATCATGCAAAATGCACTTTTTGATGTCTTTTGTACATGAATATGTGTCCCAGGTGTGTCAGTAGACACATACATACAACCCTCTCTCTTTTCCTCCGTACCGAAATCTCTAAAAACGGGGGTACAACGGAGCCGATCCAGATTCGCTGCCAATATGACGTAATATCGGAAATGTGGACTGGCTCTACGCCCACGGCCCTATCAGAAACGTCGCTATCAGAAACAATGCGTGACGTGTTTTGGAAGTAATTTAGTCTTTGTTTACATTAGCAAGCATCGCTAACACTCAGAGCTAACCTGTACTGGAGAGTGTGTATAAAAAAAAGCAGGATATAAAAGATACTCACCTTGTGGTAAACCCGTGAGGGAAAAAGCCTTTGAGCTCCACACTGTTTCAGAAATAATCCTTGATGTGGTTTGGAACATGATGGCGTTTAATCACGGCAACGTTTAGCTGAGTATCCTGCATGAGCTCTCGTCTCGGCTCTCTCTTTTCTTTTCTTTTTTTCCCTTTTTTTTTAAAGCTACAAACCCAGAATAAGCACTTCTCTAGCAGGGCTGAAATAGAGAGGTATGAGGCAATGACTAGAATGGGTGATCTGTTGATTTCTGAGACCTATAATACATGCCGAAAAATATTATAATAGGACACCTTTTAATATGTATCTTTCAAACACACAGCAAGCCACTAAGTGAATCACCAATGCTGTTACCGTTTGTGAACTGGTGTGTTAAATGTAAATGTGACTCGCTCCGCAGAGTGCCCGACGACCCTGAGCAGCTGTGAGGAGCTGGTGCTGCGGCTGGAGCAGATGCAGGCTCTGCTGAAGACAGAACCGGAGGAGGCAGACGACAGGATAGTGGACATCGTCACTGTGACCCCCCCATGCCAGAAACTAAAGGTCAAAGAAGAGGAGCAAGAGGCTGATGCTGAGCCCAAGTTCTTCCTGGGGCCATGCATGTCTGCTCAGTTTGTCAGTGACACAGCACAGCAGGTCAGGAAGCTCTCTTTGGAAAGGGACAATGCTTTGATGGTTTAACCAATACAATCCTGTTGTTGTGTTGCTTCTATTCACTGATTTTACAGTTAGAAGAAGCTGCACAACTGTCTCCATTTTTATATAATGTCTCCTCACTCTCTCTCTCAGATCGGGGTGAACTTCCAGCCAGTCGAGGTGGAGAAGAATGTGTATGCTCCAGTTGTTGAAGCCATGATTCTGAAGGTCAGTCACCAAACAGGCCAGAACAGAGAAACAAAGTTTCCATTTCCAGCATAACGTTACCTTCACATACCCTTGACTAGAATAATGAATACTCTATATAGGAGATGTTCCCCTGCACATTATTGCGTGTTTGATCTTGTACTGTACGAGAGAGTGGGTCGCTTTGGGACTAATGGTGTGTGTGTGTTTGTGTTTGTGTGTGTGTTTGTGTTTGTGTGTGTGTCTCTGCAGGCTACTGAACAGTTTGCCAGTGACATCCTGAGAGAAGCTCTGGCTGGGGCGTACGCCAAATCCCCTCAGAACAGGTCAGCCGGTTTTTTTTTTTTCTCTCGGTCTCTATAATGCAACCTGCCTAATGCTCCGTTTTTCACATTCATGCGTTTTATCCAGGGCTTGCCCAAACAACCAATTTGCTACTACTTATTCCAAACGTATCCATACCAGGAAATATCTATAAATAGTATTGCATGAATAGATATTTTATCATAACTGTTTAAAACAGAATATACAGAAACCTAAATTAAGTGAAAAAGATTGAGTAGCTGTTTTGGCCTGAATGAGATCACCTACTGAAGAGATCTGAAATGATATTGACTAGTTAGTTATGCTTGGGATATTCTAGGTACTAAAAAGCAACAAACGGCTCAAGGTTAAATTAATTTCTGGCATTTTCCAAACAGCAGATTGTCTTTAATGCTCTGTCGTAAATCTGGAAACATCTGCCACTTTCATGACCAGCTCACCTACAGGAACAAGGGAAATGTGCATGATGTCAGATAACAGGGCACTTTAATAATAAGAGACCTGAAAATGCATTGATTCATATCTTATTATATAACAGTCATAAAGCAGTGATACAACATGTCTCCTGTGTGTTGCGCCATGTTTAAATGACCTTGGTGTTTTGCAGGGCTCCGAGAGAGATCACAGCCATGAACATCCACCAGGCGGTCAGTAGCGTCCCCACCTGTGACTTCCTCACCAACACGCACATGGGTTACCTGTCCAAGGACAATTGAGGCATAACTAGAAGACATTGACTGGTAACCGACCCCTACAGGGATGTGAGGACTGTTCGACCTCCTGCTTATGACAGAGAGACTCTTTGAAGTGCGAGAACATTCACATATGGATGTAGTCCTGTTGCCTCAGGTTGTGCAGTAATAACTAATGTACTGTATTCATTAACTTAATTACAGAAGGGCTCAGCTTTCTCCTCACAGCAGCCGAATAACAATTCCTAACACTCTGGGTAAATTGTATCATGTTAGTCCTAATGTACCCAGAAGCAGCGTCGTGGGACCGGCGTCATTTGATTTTGAGAGGCTGTTGTGCGCTAGCTTACCTCATAACAAGATTATTTTAATGATGAAGTGTTTCCTACTAGACAGCCACCTAGTCAGCAGGGGAAATGAAGCCTGAGTGACTTACAAAAAAAACAAAACCTCATCAGACAGCTGTCTCCCCCCCTTGATTCTTCACCCTGCTCACAGGTTCAGTTGGCAGCGGAGGTGAAGCACAGATTCACAGCGGGTTGTAAACACTAATGAACATCTGGGTATTAGAGTTTCTTTCAATCAAGTTGATAGAAATGTCTGGTGGGCAAAACAAGGATTTTATTCCAAAAGTGTCGTTGCTACAGCAACTGTTTGCGAACATCCTTTGTTGTGTTTCAGTGTCACCTGCCTGCTGAATTCTGGCTCTTACAATACCGCTGTTGTTAAGGGTCCACGAGAAGAGGTAACGGATTTTTGTTTCTTATATTTAAGTTGCAGCGTATTATGAAGGGTTGTAAAAAAAAAACATGTCTGACTCTTAACTAGACAAAGTCTACTGAACAAAACATGTCATACATATCTGAATATTTATCTACTCCCCCTTAAAAATAGGTTCAGTTGAAAGTGCTTTTAAGTGTTTTGGTTGGCAACCATAATCATGTGATGTACACAGTATATATGACCAATTTGAAATAGATGGTGTTTTCAAATCCTGTTTTATTTTTTTATCCAATAACAATAACTGCAAACAGTAATGCCCTAACAGTAGTGAGTGTGTGTATGAATATGTGCGTATAGTGGATGTAGTCATCACAAAAGTGAATGAATTTGATGGTAAGTGAGTGCGCTGTGTGTGTTTTGTGGGCTGATGTAGTGTTGGTAAATCTGTTTGATGTGGAGCTTTGCATTATGTTAATGTAAGGATGAGTGGAAGTGTTTGGCCTGAGTGGTTGTGATGCCTGTTCAACCAAAGTAGTGTAGAAGGTTACCAAACGTTGTATTTTCATGTTTCAGTGCAAAACCAAAAATATAATCAATATTCTTGTAATAAAAAAGGAAAAACTCGACTCGTGTTGAACATTTTTGTTTGCTTTGGATCAGGATTGATTGCTTTTTCCTTCAACTTTACAGAACATTTCGTTTTTTATTCAAGTATGACACACGAAAACCCTTTCACTCCCACATTACCTGACCTTTGGTATAACAGTGGTTAACTGCAATCAGAACTCTATTCATACTTTTCGTTTAATAAGGGGTCCGTGATGTTTTTCAGGCCGAAGACCCCCTCACCTGAAAGAGAGACAGAGCAGGGACCCCTACTACTTATTTAAACTGGGCCTAAAAAAGAGCCGAGTTACATCTCATAGAAAGTGCTAATAACCTTATATTCTTTTATTGTAATTTCACTTACATGATTTTTTTTTCTTTAACAATAGATTTACAAAATAATAGACTGAACAATACTTTCTCAAAATGGTAAACTAACAAGGGAAATAAATAACTTTTTTTCTAGCAGAACACCAAAAGGGCAAGAAAGTACTCGTAAGCATACACATTTAGTGACCTTAGTGATGTCATTCGTTACCGTAGCAGACCCGACATTATTTACAACTAAAGGACAAATCAGCAGGTGCACACACACACACACACACACACACACACACACACACACACACACACACAGAGCAGCCAGTTTCTTGTGCATCTATAACCACAAAAAAACTATTTCTAACATGCATATTCTTTTTCATAGCAACAGGGGTCGTAGGAGTGTAAAAGGGTCTATCTGTCTGTCTCCACTCGGGTCGTGACGCTGCAGCTCCACAGGATTCACAACATTATACATTCCCTTGCATAGATTCTTGTATTGTGGAATGGACTCAAATCATTCCCCTTGATTTCTTAAAACGATCAAAGAGGAACGGTTGGAAATCGGAGCAGCTGTCAGATGTTGAAGACCCTCGGCCCGCTTTGAAAGAGAGCTGAAGAGTTTGGAGGTAACTTGGTCCTCACCAGATGATCCTGAGAGAGAGAGAGAGAGAGAGAGAGATGCAGGTATTACAGCAGCTATTAAGGTTATCCGAGACATTAAAGCAGAGAGGGCAGCAGCTGTGGTGCCTTCACTGGACCCATGAAATTAGAGGAGACTGCTTTTGACTGTGCTGTCAAGATGAATCAGGACTGCTGTCAGAGTGCTAGCAGTCCGGACTGTGTTGCTGTTTCCTGCTTAGTGCTGCTCAGTTCTGCTGATGGCAGCCCTTTTTAAAACCCTGGCCTTTAAATATGTTCTTTCTTTTTCTCTTCTTTTTTTTCACGGAGATTGATGACTTGCTGTCTTTGAGCACTTTGAATGTGACTTCACAGCTCAGTGGGTGGCAGGAAAGACAGCTCATGTTGTTCGGCAAGTCACTTTGGTGTGTGAGTGTTTTCACCTCCTCCCCTCTCCGCCCACCCCCCACACACACACACACTCCGGCTTTTCTGATCTGTGTAGCAGCCAGGTCTGCCTCTCTCCTGAATTAGATTTGTGCCAAAGAAGACTGCATCCCTGTGCAACATTGCACTTTAACAGATAATCCATCAAATTGTGCTCTCCAGCTACACCCCCCCTCCCCCCACTTCCCTCCCTTTCCCATTCTCTCATCACCTATCTTTCACATGCTGCATATCGTTCCTCTGTCGTCATCCTTTTCCCCCATAGCTTTATCTCTTTTCCCTCAACCTTCTCTTGCCTTTCCTCTGCTCTTAACACAATTCTCTGCTCGCTCCCTGCCAGCTTGGAACAGACTCTCCCTCTGTAGTCCCAGGCAGCGTGGAAAAAGGGGAGAGAAAACAGCAAAAAAGCCCGGATTGGGGGATAGCTCGAGATTTAAAGCTATTGTGAGCAGCCTTTCCATTTCATCTGTGCACTGTGTTACTGCCTCACCAAAACACAGCACTGCTATGCATTGTGTTCAGAAGTTAAGCAGGGCAGCCAGTGAGCTTTAAGAGTACAAACTTAAATCTAGGGGGCTGCTGCCATAAGCTGACTATGCAACAACCAAGAATTTAATAACATGCATGCTAAATGTGTTCACCGTTCAGTGGTTTTGTGTTGCTCATCCCTGACACACACACACACGCACGCACGCACGCACGCACGCACGCACACACACACACCGGATTAAAAAGCCCATCCTTGCAAATCTGTTTGCCTTGTATAGCAGATTCCGAAAACACACTTCTGTGCAGAGAGTTCAGGGCTGCACTCGTTTAAGCGTGACAAGTGGGACAGCCGAGATTCAGGTTTAACAGACGTTCCTTCTCTCATGTGAGTGATCGCAGAAACCTCTCACTGGGGGGGGTTCAATTAGGTTTGGGGGTTCAATGAGTGCAAGAAAAGGTGTCTCTCTCATCATGAAAAGCATCAGCGTGTCCTAATCACTCATTTGTCTGCTGCGTGTCATGAAATTAGAGATGGCTCTTATCCGTGGAGATGGATTTTAATGTGTTTTAGGTGGGGGGGCAAACAATTTGACAGATTGATTTGAGCAATAATGAGAATTTCATGGCTGCCCAACTCCTTTATCATTAAGAGCAGATTTATTCTGATTTCAGCAGCTTATTTGGTACTTAACCATTCCATCTTTTAATGAATAGATACAGTCTGCTCCACGCTAAATGGGGAAGCGTCGCCTGCTGGTGATAACACAGTTGGGTTTGGGCATGTATCTTACAGAATGGCATCACAAAGGGAGAATGCCCTCAGAGACAAATACCAGCAGAGTGCCATGACCCAGCGTAATGCACACTGGAGTGGGATGTGTAATGCTTGGTCAGACACCTCTGCGGGGGGCTGCTGAGTCAATAATGAGTCGGCAGTGTGTGGGCCTGTGGTGACCGGGGTGGATTATCTAAGTTCAACTTGATTTGCTGCCAGGCTAGTGTACTGGCAGATTGTGGTACAGCTGATGAAAGGGCACTGAAACTGCACATGTTTCAATGCCCTATCTGTATGTGTGTGCTTGGGGTTTAGTGTGTGTAATATTGAGCGCAGTTTGCACAGCCGATCACACTGCCAGCAGCACATCCCTTCTTAATGTGCCATGAACTCTCTCTCCAACTGGGCCGGTGTTATTAATAGAGTGTGTCCTACAATTGACATCTCTCAGTTCGAACTCTTCACCATCACACAGCATGAGCCAATGAGGGACAAAAGCGCTCAGCAGTAGTCCTTATTTCAAAAAGAAATATGCAAATAACCACTTAATTTTCTCTCTTCTTCTCATCATTATTGTCTAACCTCAGGGAGTTGCAGAAGTCCCCCTTGATAAAACTCCAATGTGTAAAATTGTTATTTTAATTTTTTGTATTCATTTAAATTCAGTTATATCATCAGTCAAATGAATGTCTCTGACCTAATAAAACGGTTTCCAAAATGTCAATTGCGAAGAAAAACAGCCATGTTTAAAGCTTTGAAACAATGAATTTTTTAAGATAATGCAATTTTTTTTTAGCTTTATGTAGGCTGTCTATGAAGGAAAACACATTCTGAGATTAATTACTTTCACAGGCTTGTATTCTCACATTGCTAAAAATAAAAATGTGTTTGGGAGATAATCACATTTGTAATATTTCTTAGCTAAATGTTAATTGAGGCTTCAAAATGTTGGAACATGCCTTCAAAACATCCTCTAAAGTAGCCTGTAAACTTCCCCATGTTCCTATAACTCCCAAATATCAAGGACATCATGACCTTAGTGTATCTAGGACCCGCCAAACATGGATTTTTCCCACAAACACATGTTCTGACCCTTCAGTGTGAGATGTATTGCTACACAGTGTGCAGCAGAGAGACCAGACAGACAGACCCGACCCAGACCAGATCCCCACTGGCAGATGGCGCCGTGATGTGTGGGCGGGAAGAGGGATGCCACTAAACCTCTGGAGATTCCCCAAATCTGTCACACTTACTGTCACGCAAAACAGCTGACCTGAGCAACATCACAGGGAGGGGACGGAGGAAAGGGGGTCGTGTCCCCTCAGACAGTTTATCCTACGATAATCTGAAACAACCTGACTGAGCTGATGAATATTCAGCATCCTGAGCAAATCCTCTTGCCCTGTTGAGTTATGCTTCTGTCCGACATCTGCTTCTTTCTGTCCCAGACCTCTTGCCTTTCCTGAGAGCAAAAGAACTGGGGCAAAATGTGAAACTGTGTGAATATTTGGTCGATTCTTTAACCTTTGTCATTCTGCCCCTGGCCATATTAAGGACACTTTTTCAAAATAACTCAGTTACATTTCTTCAACATTATGTATATTTTTACTGTATTTTAGTATCGCTGCAGGTCCAAAAAAACATTGCCCGTTCATGATTTAGACTCCCATTTAGACCAATGTCTTTACACTTGTCTACAGGTTTTCTTTGTTTTTCTGACCAAAGTGTAACAAAATTAGAACTATTAGCCATTCACTTTTTGTTCTAATCAAGCCTTTTCTTTTCAGGTCAAAGTAATGTGTGTAGCACCAGCAGTCTGTTGCCCAACAGAGCACATGGCCTGTTTAAACTGCTGGGTCACTTTGAGCTGCTTTAGGACAGGATGCTGTATCACTTTTCTGAAGCGCCCCATCAGCGACAGGCCACCAGGGAGACGAGAGAAGCTGGATTTAGGGAGGATGCTGCATGCTGCAATTCAAACCTGTAGCTCCGCCAATGAGCCCTTTGTACGTTGCATGGCTCCTCCACACAAACTGGCAGCAGCTTTTGCTTTAATATATCGTGAAAACACACAATTTGACTAACATTTCTGTCTTTGCTTACCTCTGCCTCACTCAGGTGGAGGCTGGAGGGGGTGGGTGAACCACCAGCTGGCAGGGCAGTGGGGATGTGCTGGGGGCCACCAGTAGGGTGTACGTTGGGGGCAGCAGATGTGATATTTTGCTCCTTATGATGCAGCCCTATAGACGGGACGTCCCCACTGTAGGCAGCCTGGTAGCTAGTCTCACGTGGGACGTTAGTGGCCTCTGTCCCCGGGCTGGAGTACTGAGTTGAAGGATTTTTCCTCGTACTTTTGGCTGGTCTCAC